GTCCCTTTCCTTACCTGCCCTCCTCCAGCTCAGCCTGGGCTGATAACTTGCTGCTCCAGGAACTCCTCTCATTAACCCTTGCACTCAGGACCATGGGAGAGGAACCTCTTGGGTAACCATGTATCCAGCTGCCATCCCAGGTCCCAGGCTCAACCTTCAGAGGAATAAGGTCACCAGCAAGCCCGGATCCTGGGCAGGCTTAACTCAAGTACCTGACAGAAGTCTGCAGGCCTCAGAAGCCAGGCTCTGCACTGGAGGCCATCAGGAAAGGCTTCAGTAAACTCAACACAAACCCAGGTCATTCATTCACTGGAAGCAGCAGAGCAATGAATCGCAGAAATGTCCTGGCATTTTGCCTGGGTTCAACTCTTACTTAGCTCTACCACTCATCAGCTATCACCTTGGCCAAGTCATATAACCTCTCAGGACATCAGACTCCTCAACTCAAAAACAGGATCATAATGCCCAGTCCTTACGGCTTGTGTGAGGAGTGAGTGAAAGAACACATGGGAGTGCTCATAGGGCCTATCATACTGACCCTGCTCAATAAATGCCACATATTGTTTCATTCTTTACTTCCCTGTGCCACCCCCGCTATGGCCAACAAGTAGGGCGATAAAGACATGCTGTTGTAGACCTGGAATTTTGAGGTGATTTGTTATGCAGCATAGTTGAGACCACTCCTTCCTCATACACACGGCAAAGCCAGGATTCAGCTGCAGAGAGTCTGGCTTAAGACCACGCATGGGGCAGTGCAACCAATTTCTGAGAGATTCATGGCATTTAGGCCTCTGGGGAAAAGTCTCACGGATGAGGGTAAGGTCACTTTCCTGGTAGAGGAAACAACATGCAGAGGTGTCAGAGGTGGGGTAAGTTTAGGGAATGAGTCCCTGTGCTGAGGGACGGGGACAGAGAGGACCCGGTGGTGCAGGCATTGTTAGCAGGGAAGGGGCTTTATCCTGATGGCAGTGTGGGTCTGGGGTGAGGGCTTAGAAAGTGGGTTCTTCAAAAAAAGAAAAAAAAAACAAAAAAAGGCTGGGCGTGGTGGCACATGCCTGTAATCCCAGAACTTGGGAGGCTGAGGCAGGAGGAT